CAATTTTCAAAAATGGAGAAATGTGAAAAAACTCATTTGCTTTCAAAAATTCCATAACAACTAATCTGACTGGTACCATCCCTGTAAAGCCGTTTTAGAGAGGTGAAGAAGATGCAATACATTAGCATTGGCTAATTCTTATTCCCGGGTCCAACCCGCATCGGTCCAGGTGGGTGATTGTGACCATGTGCAGCACACGTCAATTTGGACATTTTAGAGCACAGACCCACCCCCACTGATGAAAACCCCCATTTAGCGCATGCATTAGCCGGCACCAGTCCCATTAAGTTTAACAAGTGCCTTATGAAGTCCACAGCAGCTAAACTAGACTGGTCCACAAAATATAACTGCCCCTCGGCATATGACACATCTGTCAATGTTGCTTTGGGGTCAAAGAGGCAACTTTGGACCATCCTAGTTAGAGGTTTGTCAAGAGGAACGGTAGAATAGGCATGAAAAGAGGCAGCATTGCAAGTATGTCGGGCGCCCATGCTCATAACCTTTTTGGAGCCTGGACACGTCCCTAATGGTTTCAACAGGTAGCTTGTATGGCAGGTCTGAGCAAAAACAAAAATATATCAGGAATCCTGAAAAGTGTAGAGAAGATCTGAAGTGGAAAATATAACTACTCAATTACACAAATGAACCGGGGCTGGAAGCTGAGTGTTTTTCTACTGCTGCAGATGAGAAGATTGCTGCAGAGATGGTGCTGCTCTACAGCAGGAAGCCAACAACCCAACCAGAATACACAGGAATGGGGACTGGAAGAACCAACTGTGACCCAGAATTTTGTTTGTCCCAAGAGAGAGTCTTGAAGGGATCATAGACAGATCGCAATCAGCAGCTGCCTACGGTGGCAGTAGCTTTCGTCCTTCAGATATGATCAAGAACAGTCAAGTGGAAAATTCACCTCGTTAGAAGAATGATGAGTTCCCACTTTCAATCTGTAAACATTAGCATCTGCTAGCTTTTGGACCTGTGTTGTTTAGTATGAAGATGTTTATCACTCAAGGATGCCCCCGTATCCGTCTGTTTTGTGCACATCTCAAGCCAGCACAGGTACAAGTTGGCCACTACAGTTTTGACAGAGTTCTTGTAAAATGAACATATTGTGAACAAATCAAGACCACAAACCTGCTGTCCTCATGCTTATTAGAAAACATTTTTATCTGTACTGGTAAAATGTGACAGAGTGAGGGGTCTCCAGTCCAAAAAATACATAAAATATGAGCATTCAGTTATAAAGCCGAACAGTTTGAGAGTAATTGATACTGATTGATTAGCAACAGTTATGATGAAAGTTTTATTTGAACATGGAATAAAAACAGAATTAATAACAAAAAACTACAAACAATTAATACAAGAGAAAAAATACACAGTAATTTTTTGGTTATGGTTCTATACATACAACCTTGTTTTTTTTTCTTAAGGTGAAAACCAAAATGATAGCTTGTGTTGTATAGACGTCCTTTTCTTAGAAGACAATATATTTACAGAGATTGGTTGTTTTTTTGGCACTTGCAGTTCACAGTTTTGGTCAGTACACCTCAGGCGATGTCCCTCATGTGCTTCCTGTGATTGGCTAACAACCTCAGCAGGATGAGGAAGTTAGCACTTGTCTTGTTCACTCAAATGTGTTCATTCATTTAATCTTCAAGAAATAGAAGGCGAAGTCGAAAGAATAACTATGTTCAATGTTTTGCGAGTCGTATACAAGTTCAGATGAAGTGGCCAACTAGAGAAGTTTTTATTGTATTTTTTTATGAAATTATAGAAGAATGTCCAAATGTTTTTCCTAGATCATTATTTAACACTAGAATTCCTAGAACAATAATATTTCACGGCATAATTCACGGGCAATTGATTTAAAACTGTGGACTTTTTCTGTTTCTTTGTGTACTGAACACAACTAGTTGTAGTCTGTCTATCCATCTCTCCATCTATTCTATCTGTCTATCTGTCTATCTGTCTATCTATTAGCAGTGTTTATTTGCAGACTCTGGACCTTGAGTCTGCAAAAAAAGTTATCTATCTGATCTATAACTGTGTCTATTTATCCTATGCGTACGTTGTAAAAAAAAGGATTAAAACATCTTCATTATCAGGTAGTGTTTTCATCCTATGGTAACATTGAAATTGGATTAACTGATTTACAGTTTTTTCTCGTCGCTTTGGTGCATTTTTCACATCGTTCTTCACATTTTCACAAACTGTTGGTGCATTTCTCAAGAACAATTAGTGCAAAACTGGCAGAACCATCGTGGATAAACCTTCAAAACGTGCGTCACTTTCTCAAAATGAAAAGTTATGTCCTCAAAAGCAAGTTCAAACGTCAATGAAAACTGGTCTGTGTTCGTCAAAATAATATGTCCTAGACAACATTGAGTATGAACATCACAGTCAAAGACTTAGTCATGTTTTTCATTGTGAAAGTTATACTCTCTCTGTGTATCTCAGAGTAAAAAAAAGTCAGATCTCGGTGACACTTGAGCACGGACTACTGTATGAGCAGCACTATACAACGACCTATAATACAGCCCATTTACAGTAAAAACTAAACAGTAAAGTAACACAAATACTGTATTAGAGGAGTTAACTGACATTCTGTAGACAATATAATGTCATTGTGTATGGTATGTATGTATGTGTGAATCTATGTAAGTATGTACAGTATGTATGTGTGAAATCTATTGTATGTATTCACTGATATGTATGTGTGTATGTGTGTAATCTATGTATGTATGTACAGGTATGTATGTGTATGTGTGTAAATCTATGTATGTATGTACAGTATGTAATGTATGTGTGTATGTGTGTATCTATGTAATCGTATGTACATATTATATGTATGTATGGTACTTACTGCATATGGCTCTTTGGTATTTTTGTCTGCACAATGCTGTAGAATTGCAGCAGCATACAGTATACATGGTACATGTAGTATAGTACATAGAAGAACAAACATACAAGAAATATCATTATGGTAGAAACTGTGACAAAAATGAACAATAAAGCATACCTCATGAGTGAAAGCTGAAATTCACCTGGGATAAATTGTTCAATTTAAAGAAAGATTTACAGGAAAAGAAAGATGAAGGAATGTATGAAATATAGCTGACAGTTATGATTTTGAGAACCCCCTAGTTCAACAATTTTGTATGTGTATGACCAAAGCGATGAAATGATGACAGTTAGTTATATAGTGAACTGACTATTCCAGAAAGTGAATAAGTTGTGTTTCATTTTGACTGACAGACAGAAGCAATTGATGATGTTGAAAAAACGCTGAGAATTGTATGAAAGTTAACTGATACATGAACAAAAGCATTTGAAATGTGTTCAGAGAGGAATGAGAAACTACTGCCATGATCATGTGCATACCAATGGACCCAATGTTGTGGGAAGTTGAAACAAATAGTTTTGAGAACGTATTTAGTCTGATGTGAAAAATGCACCAAAGCGACTGAGAAAAACTGTAATTCATTTGTCCCTTGTACCAAGAAAAAGTGTGTAGTAGGAGGGGAAGTTACTTACTAAGTTGTTCCATAACGTCATTTCTGTGGTGCAAAAATATAGTCCTAATCCTCGTTCTAATTCACTCCAAGATTATGATAAAGGGTCAAAATGAAGTAAACCATTTCCTCTTAGAAAGGGTGGTTGAAAACAGGAACATCTGATCACGACTCATTATTTATTTAAAGTTTCACAACCTCTTAATCTCTCTGTGACTGTTTGATCTATTCGAAAGAACGGAGTCTTCACGCACAAGTAATTTGCATAATTTTATTGAAAAAAAAAATAGAATCTCAAATGTGGCTACAAGAGGTGTTTTGACAAAAAATGCACACACATGTTATAAAGTATAAATATAGCAATCACAAAATGGTCCCCTCAATGGTGACATTGCTCTACCGTTGTGTTCCTCCCAATGTGTTTATTTAAGCAAATAACACAAATTGTTCCTTTAATCAGCACTGATGTCCATGTCTGGAAGCGGCATTGAGGTCTGCTTGTCCATGGATATCTTGACGTTAACGTGTTGGAAGCAGCCTTCGCCCTTGACAAACCTCTTCAGATGCTAGCATGAATTGAACTTTCCGAATTTTTCCTGTGGCGAAATATGACAACCACCGACCCAGGGATACAGTTACAACCCCATCAGCACCAGAAGACACCTGATTGCGTTCGTGTGAGAGTTGTAAAGATCTGGTTGACCATTGCAAACGCTGCCCCAACCTTCTGGAATCTGCAACACCGCTAACGCCCCACGGCCCTTGGACAACGTGGTGTGGCAAAAAGCACAAGATGAAGACACCTGACCACCGCTAGCCAGCATCTGCGTAGCTCTTTGCTTGACACCCTCAGGGGCGCTTTGCGTTGGAAAAACTCCTGTGACTTCCTGGATTAATCGTAGATGACCTTATCTCAGATAGGAGCGAGATTGCGTGATGAGGTTTTGAACGAAGAAGTAGGTTTGGCATATGACGAGCGAGAAAAAAGATAAGCGTAAAACAATGCGATTTATGGCGAAATGGTCCGCGGCTACGGTTTTCTGTCTGAGTAATCGGGTTTTGATTATTTTGGTATCCTTCAAAGCAGCGAGCTTTTACCGTCGGGAATCCATGGTGGTTCCAGTGAAAGTAGATAAGGAACGGCCATGGCGACGACTAGCAAGCCAAATGACAACAACGGCAAATTACTATCCCCGCGATTTCGACGGTCCCGAAGATACAGCATACCAACCTTCTTAGTCGAGACCGCCCAGTATCGGTAGACACTAATAGCACCAAGAAAAGATGGAAGAATATTTATTGACGAAAAATAGGATCCTGATAAACGACACATTAAATCGGAGGTATGATCCAATCGCCACGAACACTGTAATAAGTCGATCCAAAAAGGTAGCGCGACCACGAAAGAGAAGTGTCCGCCACGGTGAGGTTGGGTCATGTAGATGCGAATTTCGCCCATGGGCTCTAGCTTCGCGGAAGACAACGAGATCACGAACAGGACGTAGATTGTTGGCGAGAAGACCCGGAGTCGAAGATCAAGCCGTAGATGGGAGGGAAGATGGCATCAGCGAAACTCCGAGTCCCAGGAAGGAAGAAGGTGTTGGTGGGGAGAGGGGAGACCGCTGTGTTGGCTGTGGGGACCAGGGTGGAGGGAAGCATAATGAGTCCAACCTTGGGAGAGAAAAAGCTGTGTTAGAATATTTAAGACTAAGATAAAGAGATTTATTTATTCCTCTCCACAGTGGAGGAATGTCAGTGTTTCATCATCAGTGATAGAAAAGCTAGGAGATGAGGAGCACGACAGGCTTAAAAAATGAGTAAAGCCGGTAAATACAAGTGAGTAAAAATTAAATACAATCTCTAGATTTATCAAAATAAAGAAGCCAAGTTTAAGATCTCTATGTTGGCCTAATAAAGAAGGCAAAGTTTTTTATTTTTTTTTTTAAAATGTACCTACAACATTTATAGTTGAGGCTAGTTTGCAATGTCCGAGCCCTATGAGGGCTTTAACAACTATTAAAACACATTATAACATTATAAAATTCACATTAGTACAGACAGGCAGACAAAGTAAAACATTGAAGATAACAAGAACAAGAAAAGAGGACATCACAAAGAGCGAGTTTTCCGGTGCAAATATTGGGGCCCGGTAAATGCAATAGTTGTATAAAGTGGCTATGTGGCAGTTAAGTGCTTCACAACTGTTAAATGTTAGTTCCCAAACTTCACTTCCCGCACGACCAGGGCCCTATGGCGTCCGGTCCTGAGTAAAAGTGGTTGCTGGCAAACAACATTTTTAGCCTCAAACACTATCATTTTAGGATTTATGAACGAAGATAGTTAAGAAGGAGATAAACTGGGAATAATGAACAGTAGGGCGAGAAACATGCACCATATAAACAAGACAGGGTTTAGGTCCTTGGACCTCTGGGTCATACTTTATTGAGCAATTAAAAAAATAAAGTCGTTAGTCTTTATTGCAGCGTCTAGTGCAGAGGTACAGAAGCGTAAATAGGCTTTGAGGTCCTTAGCTGAGTGGTCCACAATAGCACTAAATCAGATGAGAGAACCTTTTTTCGTCCCACATGGGGTAATGTCAAAATATATAATACAATAGCATGCTGCTATTGTTTCTTAGCTAGCTGTAAATGACTACATAAATAGCAGCAAGTATCATATGCAGTGATGTGTGTGTGTGTGTAAATGTATTGCAGGGATAATCAAGGTAGTTAAAGGGACATTCAGGGGGACCCACTGGAATTTCAGTATTGCATATTGCACATGATTACAAACTTAACTATTTGCAGATGGATGGTACTTGTACAAGTTCAGCAGTTCTCATTGTGCAGTCTGACAGCAGCAGGAAGAAAGAACCTTGTGAAACCTCTTCCTTCACATCGTGGGTGTCCTGTCTGTCACTGCATCTGCCTCTCCAGAGATATAAGTTTGAAATATTATTATTGTTTGATCATTCAGAGCTGTTTTCTGTAAGATGGTGATCAAGAACATGGTGTCCCTGCCAGAAAGGCCCTGATAATATTCAAGGATTCAAGATTAGTGTAATAATGTAACCGCGAAAAGGAAATTTATCTTAGACACACAGTTTTTCTACATTGAAGTGGCACATAATTCAATTCAATTCAATTATTTTTTGCAATTTTCCCCTAAATCGCAACAGTAGCTATCTCAGAAGACTTAAATTTTCAGTTCAGACACAAGAAAATGCAATGATTTTAAAAAACACATAGAGCCATAGGTCCAGAAGACAGACATGAAACATACAGAGCAATGGCAGGAGGTTCTGGAGGTTCACAGATTTAGAGAGATACAAGTTTGTTATTCCGGCTGTGGGATATTTTATTACTATTGGTTGAAGACTCGTGGCAAGCGTCCACATGGTAGAAACTCACACTGGAAGTGTATTAAGAAACAAGATTTCTCAAATATCAAGGTGCTGTAAATGTCCCAAGATGGATGCTGCTTCTAACTGTTATACACACTTCTCTGTACAGTTTCTGCTTTTTGTTTTAACGACACACGCACAACGCACACACACACACACACACACACGCACATCGCACGGACGGCACACGCACAACGTACACACACACACGCTCGACGCACACGCACATGCAAGTTCAGGTGCTTGAGTCGATGTGGATTCCCCAGTATCTATAGTATGCTCTGAGGCCCATGGATGGAGAGCAAGTAACTATATAAAAATTTTAACGGTAATTTACCCAACTCTTTCGACTCTTAATCTGTATAATTGGTATGGATCAATCATCCTGAAGATATGTAAATATGTCTCATCATTCCTGTATAAGATACACTGTGTACTATATATACATAAAGACTGAATAAGAAATGATTAAATTAAATCTATGACCAGATCATCACTGCGCTACGAAAAACAAATACATTCTAATGATTCAGGAATACGTCTCAGAGTTGTGGGAGTTTGATAAAGAATTAAGAAGATCCGTTAGTAATCGTGCCCACAGTGGGAAAATTTCAGTGTTGCTCATCAGTGACAGAACAGTAGGAATGAAGATCAACACAGCAAAGACGGAAGAATTAACTTACCTTTATTACTGTTATAAAATGATGATAAAATCTCTAACTTCAGCATAATAATATAATTAATGAATAATAATTCTAATAAACAAACAGACCAGAGAGAGAGAGTTGAGAGGGGTCAGAAGGGAAAAATCCCAGATAGGAGAACCTGTGACAGACCAGAGAGAGACCAAAGAGACTCCCCAGATAAGAGACCAGACAGAGACCAGAGAGAAAGACCACCGAAAGAAGACCTGTGACAGACCAGAGATAGACCAGAAGAATACCATATAGAGACCAAGAGAGAAAGACCCCAGATAGAGAGGTCACATCAGAGAGAGAGACCAGAGAGACCCCAGATAGAGAGGTCACAGAAGAGACCACGAGATTAGAGAGGTCACGAGAGAGACCACAGATAGAGAGGCCAACAGAGAGACCAGAGAGAGAGACCCACAGAGAAGAGAGACCACAGAGATACCAGAGAGAGAACCAGAGTGAGAGGCCACAGAGAGACCAGATATTGAGTCCAGAGAGAGAGATGGTAGATTAGCAAGATATTATATGTTTTTCAAATTTGTTCTAAATATGCCTCTCACCTGTCTGGTCTGCTTCCGTCACAGTTGTCTTGACTTGTGTTGAGTGTAAGAGAGAGGGAGAGGAAGGAGTGGAGAGGGCAGAGTGAAGGGCGGAGTCACAAAACTCCCACATTGTGCAACTGTTCTGTTTTCGCTTCCAGGATTTTTACAGTTCACTCGGAACAGTTCACTCTCATTCAATTATTTTTTCCCTATTTCTTGTATGTCTTACAAGGCCAAACAATTACAGGAATATATGTTGGAGAAGTTGCTCTTTGCTAAAGTGAGAGATATAAAACTTTCTTCTTTCTTATGTCAGAGATTGGTATTGTACTTATACGTTTTGAGGTATTACTTACGTCATTTATCTTGTGCTCGTCATTGGCTGCTCTCACTGGTGATTGCAACACTGATATTTCCCCCACTGTTGGACAAATAAAGGATCTCTTAATCTTTGTCTAAACATTGTTCCTTCATTTGTAGGATTCCTGCGGGGATGCGTCACCAGTTCCCGACAGGTGCAGCGTCTCCCTTCGGTTTCAGACTCCGAGACCCTGCATGAGAGATACTTCATGTTTTAAAACTTTGGAAACATCTGGAGACACTGCCCACGGGTCCCATGGCCATATCACAACAATAAACAGATCCAGAAAGCAAAGGAGAAAAAAGCTAAACAATTAATAAATAAGAAATGTTTGGATCCAACCCAAACAAGCCAAGGAGGAAGTAGAAGTAACCATGGAGGATTTACTGACGATTCTGGGAACATGGTGAAGGGTGAACCGGGTCCTATTACACTGTCAGTAGTGTAGGGTTAGTACCATATGAACCAACTGGGACTCTGATGAGTCACAGGGACTGGCCTCCTGCCTGGGACTCTGAGGAGCACAGGGACTGGCCTCCTGCGTCGGGAGCTCTGAGGAGCACAGGGACTGGCTCCTGCTGGGACCCTGAGGAGCACAGGGACTGGCCTCTTGTCAGTGGACTCCAAAGAGCACAGGGACTGGCCTCCTGCTTGGACTCTGAGGAGCCGAAATAAAGGGACTGGCCTCCTGCTAGTCCCGCAGAGTCAAGGACTAAACAGTGGCAAAGGCAGCGTTTCAAAACAGTTTTTTTTTTGAAAATGTAGCTTCTATCTCCAACAATTTTCAAATCCAGGTTAAAACTATTTAGTTTCTCTGTGCATTCAACTGGAGGGGACTTTATCTTCAATCTTTTTGGTGCGGTTCTTATTTATGTTAGTATTTTGTTTACATTTATGCTTTTTGTTAGGGACACTTTTGAGGTGCCTTGTGTATGAACTATATACATTCTTTAAGCCACAGTGACAAGAAAAGACAAGACTGAAACAGTAACACTTTCACCTTTGAGATTCACAGCTACTATTTTCACGATAACAGTTGTAAAAAACTTCAAACAAGGTCAGCAATCTAGGGGTAATACTGGGTGGACTCAGTAAAAATCAGCAGCATTTTACCATCTAAAAAACCATTGCCTAGGATCAAAAACATAGTGTCTAAAGCAGACTTGGGAGATTCTTATCCATGCATTTGTCTCCAGTTAGGTTAGACTACTGCAATGGCCCTGCTCACAGGTCTGTCCAAACATGCCTGTAAAACCAGCTGCAGTACATTCAAAATGTACTGCAAGCTGAACTAGAACCAGAAGTACGATCATATTAGGGACCCATTCTCAGGTCTCTGCACTGGCTTCCTGTGGCTCAGAGAATAGACTTTAAAAACAGCTCTGCTTGTGTACAAGTCTCTCCATGGCCTCTCGCACCAAAATATATTAGTGACATGTTAGTCCCATATGAACCACCCGGACTCTGAGGAGCACAGGGACTGGACTCCTGTTAGGGCCCAGAGTCAGAACTAAACATGGGAGGCTGCTTTTCAGATTCATGCTGCTAAAATCTGGAACAATCTTCCAGAAGATGTGAGACAGGCCTCCTCCTCTGACAATGTTTAAAACCAGTTAAAAACAGTTCTGTTTAGCTGTGCTACAACTGAGGGATTTTTATATTTTTATCTTACTTTTTAATGTACTGTGATTATTTTAATGCTTTCTTATTTTGTTCAGAACACTTTGAGTTGCCTTGTGTATAGAATTGTGCAATACAAATAAAACTTGCCTGCCTAAAAACAACAGAGAGAGAGCGAGCGAGAGAGAGAGCAGAGAAACCGGAGAGAGTCCTGATGTGAGTGTTTTTGTTTCTAAATCTAAACTAATCTTTACCAACGACCAGTCCATTACTGAAATCTGAACACTAGATGGCAGTAGAAACGGATTTAGGCAGAGCAGGCACTTCATAGCCTAAAAAAAAATCCTGGATAACCAACTAATAATAATAATGTCATGTCATTATATACTGTATTGTATAATACTATCCATCGTTCCAACACATGATAAATTATACACCAGAAGAAATCAAAAAAAATCATGTTTAAAACCTAAAAATAACACAATTCAATAGAATACATAGTTCCCACAGACCAATGAATGTCACATGACTCTCCTCGGAGACGCCATCTTAGATGGCATGAACGCTGCTGTGTTTTTGCATTCCATTAAACAAATAAAAAGAATAAATGTAGATATTCAAACGCAAATTGGAAAAAATGGCAACTTTTGAGCAAATAGATTGTATATTAATACAATGGCTACCAACAGTTTAACGTGCTGACGGACTAACAAGTTTTTTACATATTTGTATCAAATTATGGCAGCAAAAATTAACAAAGCAAAGCAAACATTTCCCAAAAACTTTATATTTAATTACCAGTTGGAGCTCCATTTAATTATTTTAATTATATTAACAATTAATTTAATTAATGCTAATGCCACCAGACGGACACTCCTGGATTGCTGTTTATTGTTTATTTCGCGTTTTTGACCGTATGTTTTTGGTGAATGGTGGGCAACTGATTTTTCCAGGCGTAAAGAGCAGTTTAATTTTATGACACAGATCTTTTTTACCAGAAAGCCAATGCTGTTTGTGAACATTGTTTTTAGCCCACCATAGAACTCATATTATCTATTAATACATTTACGTTGCCCTCAGAGAGCCTCGGACGCGACAAGTATAGCCGATCATCCTCATTAATAAAGTAATCTAACGCAAATAATGAAACTCTCAAGTTACAGATATCAGCATAACACAATTTTAGTACTAGTAAATTAACGTCTGTCAACCACATTATAAGAACGATACGCACCTGACACAAATTGCTCCGAGCATATTCTTCGCGGTTTTGAGGAGTTTTCTTGACCTTTTTATCTTCCGCAAGCCATAACCTCCGTGGTTGTTCGACAAAATCTTAGAGTCTTCTCACAATTTCATAAGTTCACATGAGGGTATACTGTAAAAATCACAAGTTTTACGGAACCTCCGCACGATTTGAACCACTTTGACCCAGCAGGGAGATGAACCATTTTTCAACTTTATCACTACATTAACACGTTTCAGCACCTTTTTCTATTTTTTGCCCACAGAATGCCAACAGCGAAATGGCGCCGGGTCGGCAAATCCCCGTATGTAGTGACGTCATGTGGGAACTGTGCGTGCGCGTGCGTGCGTGCGGTGTGTGTGTGTCTAGCAATGTATCCTCAATTACCATTCAACTAAAACAAACGGTTTTAAACATTTATCATCTAAACACTGCAAAGAAGATGTAATACATATTAAAAGGTTGAAATCAATTGCCGAACTGTTTAATCTATGCAGTGACGCCCCCCAGCAGGTTGATCGACTGATCCCGTCAGACCTCGTGAAGGTAAGCAGGACAGGGCCTGATTATACTGGTGATGGAGACCTTGAATAAAATCAAATACAAATAGTGATAGATGAAAAGTTTCCCGGCTTCTTTGTCCTGCACCTGTTATTTTTAGCTGAATAAATGATCCTACATGCCTTTCAGCACACTCTGCAATCAGTAGTTTGTCAAGTATGTTCTGTAATCAAATATATTCGAGGTCTTGTGGTCACTTTTACTTCTTGAGTACAAAAGTGTATCTGTCCAGGGCGTCCGGTGCTGCTGGACTGAGGAGTGCAGCGCAGGGGCGCTGTGGTGGCCTGAGCCTTATGTCACATGTGTAAAGTGTAGCAGTAGTGAACACTGGCCTAGCATTCTGATCCGTCGACATCTCTGCTTCTGCTTAATTCCTTCCTCAACTCAGAGCAGCACTGGACACAGCTCTGTCCAGCAGTGGTTCAACTCATAGTTACAATTCTATGGTTCAACTGTGTGATGGAAACATGTGTCGCAACAAGAGATTATTTGGGGTGACAGAATGAAAATGACTTAAACGTTGAACCAAAATAGAACTGTTTTGTTTCAATGCTGGGAAATGTTTAGAACCTTATTTTTTTTTTTTATTGTTTTAATCAAATCAATTGTACAATAGCAAAAAAGCAAGTTAAGAAGTAGCTTTTCCTTTCATGGTGTAACCTAAAATTTGCCCATGGACAAGTATAAAATCTTCTGTGTTTAAATAAACACAATCACGATAAATGGACAAATATATTTATAATTGTGCTTGAAATAATTGTGGACATGATAATATATGATCATATCTCTCATTGCTCCTTTTGTCCGTATAGTCATTTGTTTTGATCCGTGTGTCACCGGCTGCAGCAGGAAAAAGCTTTGGATTTCAGAATCTGTGAATGAACTCAACTCGTCTTCCACAGTGTTGCGTCTCTGTAGCTTGTGCGCCAGGTCTGCGGCGATTCATACAATGGAGAGGCCCTTTTGCAAATCTCACCACTTTAAAATCACAGTAATATAGGTCTACAAAGTGATTTAGATTCAAGTTAAGTAAACTCAAACCATTTTTTTTTCCCTTTTTTTTTGGCTGCTCTGTTGCTGGTCCTGTTCTACATTAAGGATACAAAGGTCTATTATATTTGTCTTTTCTACGACATTTTCTTACAATATTATTATTATTATTACAATCTATTTATTTGTTTATACAGTTTTCCTTCTCTCCGTGTCGAGCTCCCATACCAAACCTAGGTTGTTCAGTCAATCATGATATACCACCATTGAGCAATAATTATCCCTAATTACTTTAATTTTAATGAGTGTTTACAATGACATTTTTTACAAGGTTTGTGCTTATCAAACAGTTTAGATTCAAACCAAGACATGTATATAACATAATACAATGGTAATATCTAATCGACCCCAGGCAACGTTGGAACCGCATAACAATTGGGCATCGGGGCCAAAAAAAGGTTTGAGAAGACTCTGCACACTGTATACATGATATTTGAACTTGATTTAAGTGAATAAATAACTAAAAAGAGTGGGGTGAGAAAAAATACCTACCTTCTAATCCGACATTCAGAAGTTACCTATGATTTCAGTATTATTACAGGTTGACCTAATGACGGAAACAAAATTGCCAACACAAATAAACAGAATCAAACATTTGAAACACAGTTTAAATAAAACACATACAGCCCTGGTCCATAAGGGGCAGAGACCAATGTCCATAAATGTTGATAGAGTCCAATGAAAATGTGCTTATCATGAAACAGTATTGGCTAATTACACACATCTTTTTCTCTCTTTTATGGTACACTTTCTAGTTCTATGAGACTTCTCTTGGTCACCCTTCCATGACATGATCTGTGCATTCTTGATAGAGCTGCTTCTTTGCTTGTTTTGGTGGAAATCTGCTTTACTGTCCATCCTCCATATGTTTGTGAGAATTAGTAGCAGGTTCCACTGTCTCTGTCTTCGATCCTTACGCTTTCAGCCTCCAGCAGCTGGGACACAAGACCGGCCATGTTCTTGCCGTCTCTTTTGTTATGATACTTTTTATATTCCCTGAACACTGTGAGCAGAGGGTTTATGGTCCCGTGATCAAATTGAACTTTTGCCCTTCCTCCTTTTACAATCTGTTGGTAGTCATTTATCTCTTTGCCAGTGAGAGCGATACGTTTAGAAGTTCAATTCCATTTATTTGTGTATATTCCCTGAATCACAACAGTAGTTAACATCGGAGGACTTTACAAAACTGTTGAATTTTGCCAAGCACAGATCAGAGAATCAAACAGTTCAAACACAACAAATGCAATGATTAAAGAAACACACACATGGAGCCCTTAGTCTATAAGTACCTAGATCATCACTGGGACTATTGATGCTACTTCCGCTTGACAAATTCTTGTGTGCTGAATAATAGACACTCAAATCCCAAATGTGGGAAAAAAGTGGCAGGCTTGGATCATAAAGAAGTGAAATGTATCACTCGTATCAATTTATTTGCACTTCTCAAAAACCACCCACTTTACTCCACCTCCATTCAGTTTGGTCCTATCAGCAATCTGTGTACTTTGCTGCTGAGAGATAATTACCGCGTAATTTTTCACCTTATCCAAGAAAGCTCTGAGCTCTTTTCGTCGTTTAGGTGGCGTCCTTCAGAAGGTAAACTCAATTTTTGTCCAGCATGTAAACCTTGGTATAATCTGTGAATATATTGGTGGTAATGTTTAAAGGCTGTAAAACCCTCACAACATGTTGTACACTTTTCTAACCACTGAGACTCACAAAGGCTGAAGTGAGAAAGAGAGCAGGAGGTATCAAATCTGATTGGTTGAAGGTCTGAGCACTGCTGCAAGCTGTCAAAAGCCGTGCATAACACTGTAAAAAGAGCTTTAGAGGAAGCACTGAGGGGCAGAGCAGGGATGCAACACAGATGCAGACCAGAGAGAAAGAAGAGAGACCAGAGAGATACCAGATAGAGAAAGACTGAGAAGAACAAGAGAGAGAGACCAGAGAGAGGCCCAGTGGTAGTGGCAAGTGCACACCAATACACAAAACTTAGTCTTTCTATATCAAAAAGGCTAAACTGTCATACTGGCGGTTATTAATTGATGTTATTGGAGTGTACTTGTGTAATGAGATGACTAACCCTAACCCATCACAGTACTAACCAGGCCCTGCCCTGCTTAGCATCAGATGTGTGTTGGGATCTGGCTTTCCGACATGCAGGTGGCGCCATCTGCAACACTTACATTGTTAATAAAGTGTTTTATTTTTGTTTCAGTTTCAAGTTTTGTCCAAGCACAAGTTCTACAAGCGCACACACATAACACACACACACAAATACACATACATATTTGCCACGCCCACACATACATACACACCCACACACACACACTAACTCACTACAGAAACACTTTTATTTACATTTTCTGTGATCATTATGCCTGAGTGTTATTGTTTTTTTTTAAATCTTTATACTAGTTTTGAGTTTGAGCCTTGCGTATGAACTGTGCCAAACTCAAAAAAACTTACCTTGCCTGCCTTAACACTCACACTGCATCACAGTCCAGGACCGGGGCAGAGAGGCGGTTCCTACAGCCGAGGAAGGCGTCTTCTCGTCTGCGGTCTGTCGCGGGCGGATAAGGGGAAAATCCAGGCCCACCTTTTCTCATTGTTTGCACCGCGGTGGAATGCGCTGGTTTGGTGCATGTTTGAAAAGACAGGGCTTTTCTGGATCTCGCTCTAACCTCATCTGGATTCGGGACACTATGCGACAAAAGCGAACCCATGTGAGAAGGCAGAAGAAAGAAGAAGAAGGAAATAAAAAAAAGAAAAAGTTGTGATATTTTTTTTTTTTTTTGTAAACCCCCTTCAGAGTCTGCGCACTCTCGCTGGAATCCTGGACTGGCGGTGAAGGCGGCGAGAAGGGTAAAAACATTTTTTTTTTCACCTTCTTCTTTCGCAGTGTAATTTTTTTGTTTTTTTTTTTTTTTTTTACAGCGGATGTGGCAAAGCAAAGGGAAACCAAGGGAAAGAAACCAGACAGAGACAGCAGAGACTAGATTAACGAAGCGAGAGAGGACGTGATAACAGCGCAATCCGTTTTGCGGTCCAAAACTGACACCCACGATTCTGCGCCAGACTTATAGTATTGTATACATGTTATTGTGTGTGTGTGCGTGCCTACGTTTACACACACATATAATATTTTTACATAATTCAGTCTGCGGTCATTCCTGATACTTCTTGACCCTCTCCATACAGTCTAATGTATTACACACGTATCGCGTATCTCCTCGCGTTTACTATCATATTTTTTTTTCGTTTTTTTTTCTTTTTTTTTTTTTTTTGTACCAACTAGTGTCCCACCTCCTAAAAAGGTCATAGGCAGCCCCAAAGTCAAGCACTTCGTTCCTCCTCTTCCCACACTTCCTCCCAGACTCGGTGCGGATGTACAGGGCGAGATTGTGGTGCCAACTTGTCCCGGATGGTTGTCTAATAATCACTGGGGTGCGTTTGTTTTGTGTTTTTGAGATTTGAGAATTGTTTTTGTAGAGTTGGTGGGGTGAATTGTGTTGCAGTACACTGTTGTATGGCACTAGCGGTCATGTTTGTAATGTTGCCAAAAAAAATGATTCTCTAAACGAGCAGGGCATGTCATGTTCAGGGCCGCGGGGTCAAATGCGTCCGTTTGTGGATGTTTGCGTGGCCCCTCTGCTTGATGTATGGATTTGAGATCATATATGACACAACATTCATTTCAATTCAAGTGTGTTTTTGTGTAGCCTTTAAATCACCTACAGCAGCGGTCATCGCGAGGAGTTTTTGCAAAGTGTGGGAAACGCATAGAATATTGAGAAAAGTGCTTTTGGGCAGTGGGCATATTAAAGATCTTTTATTTGTCCCGCAGTGGGAGGTTTTCAGTGTGGCTTCATTTGTTGACAGAAACAGTAGAAATGAGGAAGAGACATTGCCAAGATAAAGGAAGGGGGGGGGGGGGGGGGGGGGGGGGGGGGGGGGGGGGGGGCAATAACTTTATACATAAAATAGAATAAAATCTCCAACTTTTTTGCTTCCAAGTAAAAGTTGTCTACGTCTGTATCGTCCAGACATAGTAAAAAAGTGAAAATCTATCTTGAGTGTGAGCGATGGCGACAGTGAGCTTGTTAAACAGAGCGTTGCACGAGGAGAACTGGGGCTTGTGCACTGCTCTGTTTAGACAAGTCACTGTTGGGGGCGCCATCGCTCACACTCCAAGAAGATTTTCCTTTTTTACTATGTCAAGACGATACAGAACGTAACGAACTTTTACTGGAAGCAATAAAGGTTGGAGATTTATATGTCTATTTTATTATAAAGTTATTGTTCCTTTATCTTGCAATGTCTCTCCCTCATTTTCTACTGTTCTGTAACAAATGAAGCCGACACTGAAACCTCCCCACTGCGGGACAAATAAAAGATCTCCCCGCCCCCCCCCCCCCCCCCCACCCCCCCCCCACGGGGGGGGGGGGGGGGGGCGGGGGGGGGGGGGGGGGGCGGGGGGGGGGGGGGGGGGGGGGGGCCCCCCCCCCCCCCCCCCCCCCCCCCTTAATCTGCCCACTGCCCAAAAAGCACTTTTTCAATATTCTATGCGGTTTCCACACACTTTGCAAAACTCCTTCCGCGATGACCGCTGTTAGTGGATTTAAGGGCTACACAAAAACACACTTGAATTGAATTGAAGTTGTGTCATATATGAATCTCAAATCCTACATCAAAGCAGAGGGGCCACGCAATCATCCACAACGGACCGCATTGACCCGCGGGCCTGAACAGGGACATGCCTGCGCGTTTAGAGAATCATTTTTATTGGCACATTACAAACATGACCGCTAGTGCCATACAACATGTACTGCAACACAATTCACGCCACAAACTCTACAAAACAAATCTTCAAATCTCAAAAACACAAACAAACGCACCCCAGTGATTATTAGACAACCATCCGGTACAAGTTGGCACCACAATCTCGCCCTGTACAGCCGCAACCTGAGTCTGGGAGGAAGTGTGGGTAAGAGGAGAACGAGTGCTCCAGGACTTTGGGCCAGCCTATTCCCTTTTTTAGGAGGTGGGACACTAGTTTGGTAAAAAAAAAAAAAAAAGAAAAGAAAAAAGAAAAAAATATGATAATAACGCGAGAGAGATACGCGATACGTGTGTAATACATTAGACTGTATGAGAGGTCAAAAAGTATCAGGAAAGACCGCAGACTGGAATATGTAAAAATAATAATGTGTGTGTAAACGTAGGCCACGCACACACACACAATAACATGTATACAAATATAAGTCTGGCGAAGAAACGTGGGTATTTTGACGCAACAACGGATTGCCATGATTGGATCACGTGCAATCTTCCTTCGGCTTCTTGTAATCTAGATCCTCTGCTTTCTCTGTCTGGTTCTTTCCCTGGTTTTCCCTTTGCTTTGCCACATCCGCTTGTAAAAAAAAAAAAAAAAAAACAAAAAAAAATACACTGCGAAAGAAGAAGGGAAAAAAAATGTTTTACTTCTCGGCCGCTTCACCGCAGTCCAGGATTCCAGCGAGAGTGCCGCAGACTCTGAAGGGGGTTTACAAAAAAAAAAAAAATATCCACAACTTTTTCTTTTTTTTATTTCTTTCTTCTTCTTCTTCGCCTTCTCACATGGTCAGCTTTTTGTCGCATAGGTGGCCCGAATCCAGATGAGGTTTAGAGCGAGATCCAGAAAAGCCCTGTCTTTTCAAACATGCACCAAACCAGCGCATTCCACCCGCGGTGCAACAATGAAAAAAGGTGGGCTGGATTTTCCCCTTCTCCGCCCGGACAGACCGCAGAGAGAACGCCCTTACCTCGGCTGTAGGAACGCCGCCTCTCTGCACCGGTCCCATGGACTGTGTGCAGTGTGAGTGTTAAGGCAGGGAAAAAAGGTAAGTGTTTTTTGTATGGCACAGTTCATACGCAAGGCTCAAACAAACAAGTATAATGATTTAAAAAAAACAATCCACTCAGGCATAATGATCACAGAAAATGTAAAAAGTGTTTTCTGTTGAGTGTGTGTGGGTGTGGGTGTGTATGGATGGGTGTGCGGGCATAATATGTATGGGTAGTTGTGTGGTGGTGTATGTGTGTGCGTGTAAGAACTAGTGTTGGACAAAATGAAACTGAAACAAAAATTAAAACACTTTATTTAAAATGTAAGGGTTATGCAGATGGCGCCATCCTGCATGTTGAAAGCCAGATCCCCAACACACCATCTGATGCTAAGCAGGGCAGGGCCTGGTTAGTACTGTGATGGGTTAGGTTAGTCACTCTCCATTACACAAGTACACTCCAATAACATCATGATAACCGCCATTTGACAGTTAGCTTTTGATGATAAAAATAGAAGACAAGTTTTGTGTCTTGTGTGCACTGCCACTACCACTGCCTCGTCTCTGGTCTCTCTCTCTTGTCTCTCAGTCTTTCTCTATGTTCTCTCTCTGGTCTCTCCTTCTTTCTCTCTGGTCTTGCATTGCCATCCTGCTCCTGCCCCTCAGTGTCCTCTAAAGCTCTTTTTACAGTGTATGCACGGCTTTTGGACAGCTGCAGCAGTGCTGCAGACCTTCAACCAACAGATTTGATACCTCTGCTCTTCTTTCTCACTTCAGCCATTGTGAGTTCAGCTGGTTAGAAAAGTGTACAACTTGTATGTGAGGGTTTTACAGCCTTAAAACATACCACCAATATTTCACAGATTATACAAGTTCCATGCTGGACAAAAATTGAAGTTTACCCTTCTGAAGACCCCACAAACTAAAAGAGCCTCAGAGCTTTCTTGGATAAGGTGAAAGAATTACGGTAATATCTCTCAGCCGCAAAGTACAACAGATTGCTGAAGGACCCAACTGAATGGAGGTGGGAGTAAAGTGGGTGGTTTTGATAAGTGCAAATAAATGATATCATGATACATTTTACTTCTTTATGACCAAGCCTGCCACTTTTTCCCACATTTGGATTTGAGCTATTATTCAGCACACAAGATAATGACAAGCAAGAGCATCAATAGTCCATGATGATCTAGGAACTTATAGACTAAGGGCTCCATGTGTGTTTTTTTTTATCATTGCATTTGTTGTGTTTTGAACTGTTTGATTCTCTGATCTGTCTTGGCAAATTCAACAGTTTTTGTAAAAGTCCCTCCGAGATACCAACTGTTTGTGATTCAGGATATACCACAAAATTAAATGGAATTGAGACTTCCTAAACGTTCGCTCTCACTGGCAAAGAGATAAATGACTCCCAGATTGAAAAGGAGGAAGGGCAAAAGTTCAATTTTATCACGGACCATAAACCTCTGCTCACAGTGTTTCAGGGAATAAAAAAAGTATCTACACAAACGAGACGGCAAGAACATTGCCGGTCTTGTGTCCCAGCTGCTGGAGGCTGAAGACGTAGGATCGAAGACAGAGACAGTGGAACCTGCACTAATCTAACAACATCTGGGAGGATGGATGTAAAGCAGATTTCCACCAAAACTAGCAAAGAAGAGCTCTATACAAGAATGCACCAGATATGTCATGAAGGGTGACCAAAGAGAAGATCTCCAAAGAACTGAAAGTGTACCATAAAAGAGAGAAAAAGATGTGTGTAATTGCCAATACTGTTTCATTGATAA